CCAGCTGTTTGAAATAGCAAATAATTTCATTTTGTGGTATTTTGAAGACCCTATATTATGTGTGACGTCATAGTAAACATTTCCCGTACAAATTAGGCCCCGCCTCCTTACTGTAACCTTAACTGTGCTGCGAAGGGGAAATAATTGGGAATAACTGAAAATTTGGTGGCATATTTTAAAAATCTTCTCCTCAAGAACCACTGTGCCAGGAAAGATGAAACTTATAGAGAAACATCCTCAGGTAGTGTAGATTTAAATTTGTTCAAATCATGACCCCCGGGGGTAGGGCGGGGCCAAAATGGCCGAGCTAAGTTTTACATAGAAATATATAGGAAAATTCTTTAAAAATCTTCTTCTCAAGAATAGCAAAGCCATAATTCATCATATTTAAATGGAAGCATGCTCAGGCAGTGTAGATTAAAATTTGTTCAAATCATGACCTCTAAGGGTAGGGCGTGGCCAAAATGGCCGACCTAAGTTTTACATATAAATATATAGGAAAATTCTTTAAAAATCTTCTTCTCAAGAATAGCAAAGCCATGATTCATCATATTTAAATGGAAGTATGCTGAGGTAGTGAAGATTCAAGTTTGTTCAAATCATGACCCCTGGGGGTAGGACGGGGCAACAATGGCCGACCAAAGTTTTACATAGAAATATATAGGAAAATTCTTTAAATTATCTTCTCAAAAATAGCAAAGCCATGATTGGTCATTGGACTATTTTTGGACTTAAAAAATCTTCAATAATAAACCAATTGCTACTTTTTCTTAGCCACAGTGCTCAGGTGAGCGATGTGGCCCATGGGCCTCTTGTTTATCCAAACCATATACACTATGACATTTTAAAAATGCTTTAGTAATTTTAACATGTTTAATTTCTAATTATGTTCTAATATACATAAATAAAGACTCATGTCTTCATGTATATATTTCATTTCTGACTGAAAATTCCAATGATATCAATATTGGACCCGTGAACATAAAGAATCAAAACTTTATACATATATTTACGGAGAAAGTATATGGTTTTATCCCTTAACCAGGTCAAGAAATCTATTGACAAAACTGCTTTAAGATATGCATGTGGGGCATAATGCACAGAGAAAGGTCGGAGGCTCCGTAGGACTGGTTAAAACATGTCTTTCATTTTGATGAGTAGACAGGCACTGACAAGGATAGCTGACAACAAAAAAAGTACATAAACTGGGTTTCTGATAAATTTCTCCACAATGATCCCATGAAAAATGTTTCATATACTTGATTCTCATTATATCGCGGGTTCCATTGTATCAGGGTATACATATCCAAAAATCAGTTACATAATTCATATCACTTTTGTGGATAAAACTATCTGCTTGTCGTCTAAATGTAAATTTTTGTGATGATTAAAGAGAATGGAACATGCGTCGGAAAAATTTTTATTCAAATAAAACGTAATTTAAAGATTTTCATTCCCGTTTTTATTATATTTAGACCATTTATTTTATAACTTAGTAAAATCATACTAAAGTTCAATTGTTTTGAAAGTATTTAGTTTTTTTTTATGTAGAATTACATCCTTAAATTGAAAATAAGAATTGAAGTCCAAGTCAACCACAAGTTTCAATGTTTTCCCATATACCGCGATACTATGAGACACTCCAATTTAGGAGGTAAATAAGACTGCCTGTTTTAAAAATAGATAACAAATTAAACGAAGAAGGCTTGGGAAATAATTTGACACCAAAAAGTTAGACCATAGTTTGGTATATGAATATCATTTGATGAAAGTTAAAGTTAAAAATTGGAATTACATTTTTTTATGCAAAAGTTTTAAGTAACGCGATATAATGAGACACCAGTATATAAAACTTAAACAAGATAATTATGAAATGATGACGTCATCAAAATGTATTGATAGCTGTTGTTTTTAAACATGAACACTGTAATGTAAATCATACACATCGTTGTTGCATGAAAAATTAAAAAAAAAACAGGTAAACTTCGTTATCTCGACACCAACGGGTCCATCGGAAAATGATCTCTAAGCTAGGTCAGCATAACATGTATTTCATCATCCCTTTATTTTATAAATGTATAATAAAAAAAAACTAAGAAGTTATTTTTTAAAAAATCGAATTTATTCATAAAAGTGTTATTTCTCTTAATCGAATGCTTTTTGAAATTAACAAAGATTTCCATCCAACATTAGAATGTAATATGCTCCTTGTCAAACCAGGATACAAAATGCGTTCTATAAACTTGAAACTATATAAACACATCAGAGAAAGTAAGAAAAAATGATAAATGCGTCAAATGTAAAAGTTATGTTAGGTTTTGAGATAAATATACACAGAATCGTGTAGAGTTATCAATTATATTACCCAAGCTGAACATAAAGTAATAAACGTCTCAAAGATGCCTAGGGGGCTTTGGATCCGCCTACGCACAAAGTCTATGGAACAAAGTGCGCAATGAAAATATGGATGTGAAAACGACCCTCTCAGACAAACAGTTATGTCCAGTAGAGCAGAAACATGCGGGTGTAGAGATATACCAAGTAAAGTTTGCCCTTGGGACTGTGAATATACTTTGAGATAAGTGGGGTATTCAACCGAGGGCGATGTATCAAGAGTTTTAAAAAATCATTTATATAGTTAATGCAGGGGCCGTTGACGGACGTCGACATATCCAATGTCGAGATACCGAAGTTTACCTGTCGTGATATATACTAAAACACAGGAGTTTTTTTTACTGTAAAAGACGTTTCATGTTTTCTGTTCTCTCTCACCTTATAAGATTTATGATATTGTTCTGTTATTTATTTTTTTTTATTTCTTACAAAGTCATAGAATTTTATACATGTATATATATATATATATATATATAATGTATATCTTTAAAAATTAATATTATAAATTGAATATATTGGCACAATCAAGCAGCGAATGCATAATTAATATAACTTACTCAAATTAATCAATTTTAAATTTGCTGTGTTCAATAAACTCTGTAAGGCAGATTACTACAGTAACATATTACGCCAGCATCTTCGCTATGACTACAGTCATTTTTTCCAAATCCGTTGAAGGTACACTTAGCAAGAGCTGATTCACTATCCCCACAATTGACTCCATCCATCCACATCTGCCCAGAAAATTCTCCAAAACGAGCGTTAGATACTGTCTGAGCTGTAGTGCTGAAAATCGAAAGGTAATTGAAAAAGAGTTAATAAGTTGCGAAAAAAAAGTTTGACATACTTAAACAGTAGTTAATTTTTCATATACATGTATCATAATATACATAATACTAGAGCTAATGGTTCTGTAAGAATGCTTCAAATACATTTAGTCATTGTAAAACCCTTAAAAGTGCATAGACACATTTGAAATTAATGTTTTCTGTAAAATATCACAACTTTTATATTTTCATAGCATTTCACACAAAAATATATTAAAAATCTTATTTCATTTAAAAGTTAATAAAAATTCAAAATTTTATACTGGTTTGATTGACACATCCTTGCGCTTTCACAAATTTTAATTTTATTCTCAATCCTTCGGAAAAATGGCAACCTTGTTGTATATAGTTGAAAAATATCAAACTATAATCCAGAAAATTCAGAGTAGAAATGTTCGAAAGCAAAACATTCACATAGCATATTGTCAGTCCGTGCAGGTGTGGTGAGCAAACTTTAACAATTGAACCCTCCCGGTGAATCGTTAACATCAACAATAACAGAGCTCGTACTCTGTTTACAAAATCTCTGTACGTTTCACGGATGTGATCAATTTGCCAAACTCTGTACACAACCTTGGCGCGGAATGACGATACTTGTAGAGGGGTTTTGCTTTCTAACATTCCTACTCTGAATATAACTATTTTTCTGGTATTACCCATTGTATCCCAGCATCCCACAAACAACACTAGCGTCATCATTATCCCAGTTGTCATCGCAGACACTCCCCTCTGTATTTCCCAGTTTTACAATCACTGTTCCATTAGATGTCGATTCTCCAATCAAGCGGACTGAAACTTTCAAGCTCATTTTTTTCCCAATATATTCCATATCAACATCAGTTTTATCTTACATGCTTTGAAAAAAAAGTAAGCTGGCAGTGTCACTCTTTCACAAATGCTCTGCAATACTTTAAAGAATTCAATGTGTACTTGAACCTGTATCTTGATCAAGCACACCAAGAGAACAATTTATGACGATATTGATTGAATTGAAATTTCAAATTTAAGGATCAATGGACAATAACTTTCGTGAATATAAGTCAGTTAATATATAACATTTTTCCTGGGGGTAAATGCCACGCACCATACAGTGAAAATTGGATAAATAAGCTCAATATTAACTCCTTTATACGCTATATTTTTCTCAATGTCCCAAAAAAATTTTGCACTTGTGTAGAGAGGGTCCTTAAATGTTCATAAATCAGCCCACTCAAAATTTGGAGCATTTTTTTTCATCGATTGATAAGTGTTATCAAAATATAGCTTACTTGTATTTCGGGCAAGCTTCTATGTATATATTCATTCATTTTCACAATGTCAATGTTTCAGAGCTCCAACACTACCAATCAGAAAACAGCTTTTATTTTAAGTAAGTTTGGTATATCACAAAAGATTTGCTCGTGAGCTGGGACATAAGAAAACGACGTATTTGAAAGATATATTCTCTTTGATTAGATTATAACTACATGTACCCATTACGACACGTGTATCAAGATACACCAACTTTTGAATAGCAGCTTACCAGGGTCCACCGTTATAAAACATACTTAAGTCTGAGAATGCTCTAAAGTCTGAGACTTTTCTCAAATTCAAAATTCTCAGGACCAGGGTCCGTCATAAAAAAATTGAGAAAAATAACTCTGTTTTATTGCAAATTTCTCAGGTGAGTATTTCTCAAGACTTGAGTTGAGAATGTTTATGAGAATTCTCAAAGTTTTATAACGGCGGACCCAGGTGTGTCAAGGGTTTGTCTGATCCTAAGTACGAAAGCCCAGAAGGCTCATTCGAGATTCAAGTTTCGAAATACGAGATTCGAAAATCAAGATTCGAAATTCGAGTTGCGAAATTCAAGATCCATAATAACCAATCAAAAGTGGATTCAACATTTGATTACTTCCCTTTATTATGATTTCACTATCAAGAATTCGTTGATTATATTTATTACAATTTGACCATTTGCTAAAATGATAATGCAAGAAAAAGTGTTTTGTGTATTAAAAAACTAAAATTAAATTTATATTACATCATAAAAAATAGATATATAATCTTATTTTTGTCATTTAACAACACAGTAAATACGTATATATAGAATATTATATTGTTTTATAGTTGACTAGCGTTATAAGTAGATCAACTTTTCTATCAGATCATTGCTGAAGGAGAATATTGTTATTGATTATAATAAGTTATGAAATATCATGAATCGTCTCTACTCTGTACAGTAATGCTAGGATTTATATTTCATTACATTTTTAAAGGTTACATTTGTGCAGTAAGACTTGACTGCTGAATCGAACTGTAGCTTTATAAGGTCTCACGAGTATATTTTGATTTTCGACCATAACGCTATTGTCAAAGACTAAATTATAGAACCATAACGCTATAGTTCTGCAGCTAATTTAGACTAATCTATTGTTTGATATCAGATAAAATGAATGCTGCATTTATTTTAACTTATATTGGCAATCTGTATTGTATATGTTATACATTGTAGTTAATTAATTCAAGAAATCAAAGCCTTAGATGAAGATAAGTAATTAAAAAACTTTATTTTTATGTTTTCCCTCTATTAGGAAAACGAACGCGGTTTTTATTTATCAAGGCTACATTGCCTTTTAAGTGTTTCAAAGTAACATTTTCAGTGTCAGGAAAAATGGGCAGGTGTTGCGAGTAGGGTTGGGGATTTTGTTAATCTTTAGACACTAGATTTATTATTATGTCAACAACCCTTTAAATAAAGTAGACAATGCAAAAATATATATATTGCTCATTTATGTATTCTAATTAATATTTAAAAAGTCAAAATATATATTGAAGTATATCTTGCTGATCAAAAATCCAATGATTATTTAACTTTCCTTCTAATATATATAACACTCTTTCTTACATTGTAATTTAATCAAATGACTCATTTGTTATAAATATATTAAACGATTTATTGATAGATAAAACATAATAAAGGGGAGTAATCAAATGTTGAACCCGCATTTGATTGGTTAATCTGGATTTTGAATCTCGAAACTCGAATTTCGAATCTCGTATTTCGAACCTCGAATGAGCCTTTTGATTGGTTAATCTGGATCTTGAATCTTGAAACTCGAATTTCTAATCTCGAATTTTGAATCTCGTATTTCGAATCTTGAATCTCGAATGAGCCTTCTAGGCTTTCGTACCTAAGGAATATTGTTTAATTGAACTAGGTTGAAACTAGCGAAGGACTACTTTAACATTTGTATATATCTGTTTTTTTTGTGACCAAATGATCCTAAAATATTGTTTTACATGACCAATCCAATATACATGTATACTATTCATCTATTATCTCTACCTAAACGAAGTTTCCCCCCCTTCATTTAAATAGGGTTAAACCACTAACTTTCATGGATGCTTTGTGTCAATGTTTGGTTAAAATAGGGCTGGTTGGTGTGGAGAGAGAAAGATAGATTTTTTCTCAAAATTCTTTCACCTCTTTCAGCCTTCATTTTTCAACCAAAGTAACTTCATGATGATCAGAGTAGCCAAGTTGGGCAATAATTTGAGATAATTAAAACGTAACAATATACCGCTTGAGACATTTTCTCATTCGTAAGCACTCACCGGCAAACTTAGATATTTTTATTATCAACCTGAAAATATACGAGTCAATAGAACACATACAGCACACAACACCGACGTCTTCACTATGGTTACAGTTGGTTATTGTAAACCCATTATGCTGACAACTTGCTATGGACTTTTCTGTTCCTGTGCAAGATACATCATCTAGAACTATTGACCCCGTCCCTTGTCCAAATGGAGCACTCTGCTTTTGAATCGCGCCATGCCTGTGGAATGATTTAATAATTGATAAATTTACCAATCGTAGGACTGTTATTGAATGCTGATAAAAATCTTTTAATAATTATCTTAATTTTTTGTACACATATTATTATGCTAGATAGATATATGTTTTGAATTTATTGCACTATATCATGTACAGTGTACCTCTCAATTATCTTCGATGCAAATATTTCTAAATATTCTTTCCTGCAGTATTAAGAGAGTATCATAATTTCCGACTATAGACTGGTATATGTGTTAAAACTATCTTAATAAGTGCAAGAAAGAAAAAAATAAAGCCTACTTTACCACATCCCAACTCTCGACAAACAACTTTTAGCGTTAGTGTCAATAATACCATCATCACAGACAGTTCCCCAGGCGTCATGGTACTTGACTTCGACACGCCCTTCACCAGTGTAACTCCCACCAACAAGCCGTATACTTTAATACGTTTTTGTAATTTTTTTTTAAAAAGAAGATGATAAGTTAACATTTTTAAGACAAGAAAATCAGGTTTCTCCAAATATACACAAAATCTTTCTACTTCAAACTCAGGTATGTAATCGTTGACAGCGTGTTTTCTCATTTTTTGTAATGAAAAATGAAATTAAACTTAAGAAACTGCGCATATCAAAACTGTTCACTTAATTGAAAAGGAAAATTCAATGTTATCATGCGCATAATACACTGTATTGTAATACTTAAAGAAAGCGAATTGTTGTGTTTTATTTTGTGTACCAAATTGGATGTGACATTACCAATTATATTATGTCACTTGATTCAAAGTATAATTCATTAAAAAAATCTTCAATGTTGAACTTACTGGAAATAACTTCCACATCCAAATTATGAATGTAAATCCAAATTTGTTGTATTACTGTTCAGTTGTAATACTATTTCAGCGTGTGATTTGTCTATATTTGTTTTTTTCTATATTTGTTTTTTCATTGAAATATTACTTATATTTTCCAAGTCTTTTTCATATTCCAGTTCTTAGGAGAAAAAATACTAAGAACCATCCACATTTCTAAAGTTGTGACATGATATTAAATCTTTTTCAAAGAAAAAATTTGTTTGTATCATCTGTCTTTAACTGGCCAGAAAAAAATGCCGTACATTTAAGTTCCATAAAATGTTAATTTTTTCCATCGTATAAACCCCCGATTTCTTAACTGTGTATTTATGGTACGAATGTGAATAACCTTTAATATAAATTGCCGCCCGCGTGGCGCAGTGGTTAGAGCGTCTGCTCTAGAGTCGCGAAGTAAGGAGTCAATCCTTACGTCGCGGGTTCTAATAACACTGTGGGACGTGGAGACCGGTCCTTCAGATGAGACCGTATAAACCGAGATCCCGTGTCGCAGTAGGTGATGGCACGAAAAGGATCCCTCCCTGCTCAATGACCCTGAGTGCCGAGTATAGGACAAAGCAGCTCTCCACCGGCAAGTGGTGGCGTCTCCATATGAGTGTAAAATTCTCGAGAGGGACGTTAAACAATATACAATCAATCAAACAATCATAATATAAAGTGCTCTTTTCAAGGTAAACTAAATTTTTTCATCGTCTGAATACATAGTCAGCGCATGTTTGTCGGCTGTTCTTACGAAAACCGAGTTGTATATTGAACAAAATAATGTCATATTAATTAAAAGGAGAAGAGCCGACAAACGTGAGCTCACACTTATTTAGCAAAAAAAAAGTTCCAAACAAACTTCTCGCTTCCATTGCTACGACTTCGATTTACCTGTTAAATGTTACAATTCACCACGTGATGTCCACCTGCGAGCGGACTCGTGGGAACACTTTCATTGTATTCTTCAACCTGGCCTAGATGTTAATCACTATGTTTGGTCCCGTTTTTAGGATTTAGCACATTAAATGTTATTTTAATTTTTCATGTCCTCACATTAAAAAAATCATAATGACATCGTTGTAATATGCCAAACACGTATTAGAATTTCTAGAGAGAGAGATGGAGAGAGAGAAATGTCAACAATGACACCGATCGATAGCTCAGCCTCCTATAAATATTGATAGAATGACCTTAAAACCACTCCGGGTACATGTCAAATTCCAGAAGACTACACTAATGTATCATTGTTTCAATTTTGATCTATGGCAATAAGGCATTTCTTTTGTACATATGTTCTAGCTAAAACAACCATGTATATGTCACTCTCTCTAATTATTGTAATATAAATTTTGGATTCACTGTATTTTCAACTTGTTAGAGTAGTCTCAAAAAGATCCAAAATAAGGCGTTAAGTCCACTCATTCTTTGTAAAGAAGTTAGTTCACTCTTTGTCATGTTTAATTACGTCGCTTTGTATAGAAGCGAGTTCGCTCTTTGTCATGTTTAAGTCAACTTGTATAGATGTTTTTTCGCTCTTTGTCAAATATTAAGTAACTTTGTATAGATGTTTATTCGCTATTTGTCATGTTTAAGTCACTTTGTATAGATGTTATTTCGCTCTTTGTTGTGTTTATCAATTTCACGAGATGTTGCTTCGCTTTGTAGTCGCTTGACACAATATGTATCTCATTGTTCTCTTCTTACGCAGAGAATCTTCTTAAAGAATACTCAATTGCTGGGATAGATTTGGCATTTGATGCTACCTGATCGGCTGTTTGTTTGTTTGTTTTTAAGAGAATTGGAGCTTAAATCTGATTAATTTTTTCATTGGACTTTGTATCCAAATGATTTATATTATTTTACGTTGTGTTCGTTGACGATGGAAAGGCTTGAAAAGCACTGAACAGCCATAAGTCTATGAGAAATCGATATAAACCGTAAATCTGCCATATTAATCAGATAAATTCCAAACTACAATGTAAGGAAATAAAAATAAAATTCATAAACATCAATTTTTGATGGAAGGTGGAGGCCAAAATACTACTTTGCAGAAATTCTTTAATCTTATTTTTTGTAAATTATCAGATGGAGGGATTTGAACGTTAGAACGATTTATCATTTTGCATTTCTATAAGTGCAGTCATCCTTTGGATATGAAGTGACCAGCACATAGAGACATGGTTAACAGAAAAGATATAATGTTGCTTTTTGGTTTTCAACAGTATGATAATAGTGAAAAGGTTCTTCTATCGCTCTAGAGTTCATTCAAACTTCAATGAGTATGATATTTTTATGACATTTCTGCAGTTAAACATTACATCTTACTATTAAAAAAAAAATCTTTGTCCATTTAAATACTTAAGGGATGCTGCTCGTTCTCCTTATCCTTGAATCGCTGTTTCTCTGAAGGTGGCACTGACTACATTTTATTATGTACATTTTTATTTAACAAATTTTTAAATAACAAAAAATTTCAAACGCCCATGACATCTCTTTAAGCAGCAAATTTGGATCGTACATTGACCTGAACAAAGTGTTCGAAGTAAAATGTATTTACACCGTTGGATCTAAAACGTTGCTTTCCATTCAACGGTTGGTCAGTTGTTCGTGCTTTGTTCCACTTTGCGTATTTTGAAATAACAAAGCCATCTAAGGTAAACAAAAGTTTGTCATCAAAGAAAATATTACACAATATTTACTACGAGTACATGTGCATTGACGATTTTGGAAAACATTCTACCGAGATCCATTCTTCACCGTTTAAGGCGTTTATTATCACAAAACAAAGAATTATAATATTAATTTGATGATATTTTAAACCCAGGTTTCCTATTTTTAAAATCATGAAAAAATATCAGAAAGGGCTGAATAGACAATTTTCATAGGACATGTTTTAGCTCTCCGAAGCCGTCCGTCTGTCAAGCTGTCTGTCCATCTTTCTCTTTTCACATTTTTGATGTCTTCTCGAGAACCACTGGCCCAGTTTTAACCAAACTTGAGGCATAACCAAACTTTCTATAGCTTTGGGAATATTTTGTTTGAGTTGTTTTTAGCTCACCTGAGCTGAAAGCTCAAGTGAGCTTTTCTGATCACCCGGTGTCCGTCGTCCGTCCGTCCGTCCGTCCATCCGTCTGTAAACTTTTCACATTTTCAACTTCTTCTCAAGAACCACTGGGCCAATTTTAACCAAACTTAGTACAAAGCATCCTTGGGTGAAGGGGAATTTAAATTGTTAAAATCAAGGGCCAAGACCCCTTCCAAGGGGAGATAATCAAGAAAATACGAAAATAGGGTGGGGTCATTAAAAAATCTTCTTCTCAAGAACCACTGGGCCAGAAAAGCTGAAATTTATGTGGAAGCATCCTGGGGAAGTGTAGATATTAAATTGTTAAAATCATGACCCCCTGGGGTAGGGCGGGGCCACAATAGGGAATCCAAGTTTTACATAGAAATATATAGAACAAATCTTTAAAAATCTTCTCAAGAACCACTGGACCAGGAAAGCTGAAACTTATGTGGGAGCATCCTTGGGTAGTGTAGATATAAAATTGTAAAAATCATGACCCCCGGGGGTAGGGCGGGGCCACAATAGGGAATCCAAATTTTACATAGAAATATATAGAACAAATCTTTTAAAAATCTTCTTCTCAAGAACCACTGGGCCAGGAAAGCTGAAACTTAAGTGGAAGCATCCTTGGGTAGTGTAGATATTAAATTGTTAAAATCATGATTCCCGGGGGTAGGGCAGGGCCACAATAGGGAATCCAAGTTTTACATAGAAATATATAGAACAAATCTTTAAAAATCTTCTTCTCAAGAACCACTAGGCCAGGAAAGCTGAAACTTATGTGGAAGCATCCTTGAGTAGTGTAGATATTAAATTGTAAAAATCATGACCCTCGGGCATAGGGCGGAGCCACAATGGGGAATCCAAGTTTTACATAGAAATATATATAGAACAAAACTTTTAAAATCTTCTTCTCAAGAACCACTGGACCAGGAAAGCTGAAACTTATGTGGAAGCATCCTTTGGTAGTGTAGATATTATATTGTTAAAATCATGACCCTCGAGGGCAGGGCGGGGCCACAATAGGGAATCCAAGTTTTACATAGAAATATATAGAACAAATCTTTAAAAATCTTCTTCTCAAGAACTACTGGGCCTCAAAAGCTGAAACTTATACGGAAGCATCCTTGGGTAGTGTTGATATTAAATTGTTAAAATCATGACCCCCGGGGGCAGGGCGGGGCCACAATAGGAAATCCAATTTTACATAGAAATATATAGAACAAATACTTAAAAATCTTCTTCTCAAGATCCACTCGGCCAGGAAAGCTTAAACTTATATGGAAGCATCCTTGGGTAGTGTAAATATTAAATTGTTAAAATCATGACCCTCGGGCATAGGGCGGGGCCACAATGGGGAATCCAAGTTTTACATAGAAATATATGTAGAACAAATCTTTTTAAAAGATCTGCATCACCCAAGTTACTCAGGTGAGCGATGTGGCCCATGGGCCTCTTGTTAATTCTTGATATAGCAGGCAAGGTAGTTAGTACAGAATAAGAATCACTGTAGATACTTGTACACTGTCAGTATGTTAGTGAGCCATTGTCCCACATAGAGATTGTTCTCATCATCCACACACACACTACGGGGATAATCTACCCCATGTTGTTGTGAGAGTAATAGAGACAAGAACTGACCGCCCTTATCAAGGAGATGAACAGTTCTACTTTTATCATCACACACCAGGATGTGACCGAGGACATCAGTACAGATTCCATAGGGACAGAACGCTGACCCCTGACCTGTGTAGGAGAACCTGTGTTGTCCTGATTTATTCACCACCACTACTGCCTTTTTATGTTCTGAAATGCAAATATCTCCATTGATGTTTTCTGTGATGTAGTGTGGCAATGCAAACAGGTCCCGTCCTTTGGTATCCCTCTGTATGTTCTGTAGTTCTTTTCCCGATTTGTTATACCTAGTGAGTTTAGCCTCTTTAACCTTCGCCATCCCCACCAGTAAGTCCCCATTGATGTGGGAGGAGTAAATGCTAAATGGTGTCCAATCTCCAGTTTTTAGGAATTCGGCGATATCATTGTTTTCTATTATTCTATATATAACTTTCTTCTCTCTCTCTGTAAAGATTAGATTTGCATTGCTTGTTACTGTGTGGTGACCACACTCAACGCTGGTTCTTATCTCACATAGCTTACTAGAACGAAAATTTGTCTGGACAAGATTTCCGCAACTGTCACTGACATAGATTCCGTTTAATTGGTCTAGTGAAATGTGGTTAACACTTTGAACACCTGGTACATAGAACTCCCTGACCTTGGTTACAGTGGCAGATAGTGACATTAACTTCTTTTCAGGTTTCTTTCTGTCTTCTTTTATTTGTTTTTGGGCAGGTTTCATTGCTGTGTTGTCAACACTTACACTGGGACTTATTTCTCTCTTCTCTGCTTTAGTGCTGGGGACATGTATTTTACCTAATAAATAAGTAATGTCATTTTTGCTGAAATCGCCAGCAGTAAATCCAATCATGATTGGCTTTGTTGCTTCTGAATATTTGTCCACATAAATTGTCTCTAGATCAGTAAATATATGCCCTCGATGGTTTCTCTGTGTGGCACATTTGGAACATAATGAAGTTTGACATTCTTCACAGAACATGTCCAAATCTTAAGTGGGGTGGATCTTGCATTTCTCTAAATGAAGTAGTCCTTTACGATGCTTGTACAAGACCACCTCATGATTCGTGTTTTCTGGAATTTTCTGATGTTCATCTCTGCAGTGTTTACAAAATCTTTCTTGACAAGGCTTGCAGTAAAATGCAAAGTTGTTTTCACATTCTTCAACACCACACTTTAAAACGTGTCGGGCTTTGTTCGGTATATCCACTTTTGATAATGCCATCTGAAAACGAGGAAATGCGTAACAAAAAAAAATGATAAGTTCTCTGCTACATAACTTAATTTACATCTCTACAAGAGCTATAGTATACAACATGTATAACAAAACGATTCTATTACATCTTAAATTAATCAATAGTTTCCTAAACATGAAGTCAAAGAACTTATTTAAATAGTTCAGCAAATGAATTATGAATATGTTAGTACAATTATGTCATAGTAATTAACATTTTCAATTACCAGTAATTCAATTGTTTTTCATACTCACTTTTATTTGTTGTGGATAGCCTTTAAAAAGCTTTTTTGATAGACTTTGGTCTGTCACGCCGAGAAAATAGTAAACCTGTGATTGGTTTCTTTCTGGAGATAAGAAAAAATATATTTAAATAGACCTTTGTTTATGTCCTCTTCACAGATTTTTGTTTATAGAATTTTTGACATTGATCAATATTCGTTATCTTCAGTCTATTTACATCCACAGATATTTGTTTACAGAGTTTAATCGAGTAAAAACAGGCTTAATTCTATTTTTTAAACTATAAATTCATTTCAAAATTTTTGAATTCCTGGTTAATAAGGGAGCTCTAGACAGCTTTGATTAATATTATTTGGACGTTGTGATAATTATGTGAAATGAAGGTGAACATCTGGAAGCAATGGCAATGATTGAAATATTTAAAATAGGAATCTCTTAAATCCACAGTGTAGCTATAGGCTTGTTCATCGAACTTCAATTTGCCAACAAAGCAATAGACGCTGTAAATATTAGCAATATTCTTAATCACAAAGGGGACAAGTCTTCGGTTCAACCATATTCAAATTTTTAGTTCATATTTTGTTTTTCTTAAAAATATACATTCATTGCAAGTATTGCTTCTAACTTTTGAAATTGCATAATAGATATAGTTACCAATACCAGATTTATAAGCTACATAAAAATATGACTGAGATATGTAGCGGGCTCCAATAAATGTTTACACATGTACACAGTCTTTTTATTTGTTCCCCACTAAAATATTAACAATAGTGGAGGAGAGTCGACAGGAGTATGGTACAACAATATGATTGTGCATATCGTGAATTGGTGTTTATCAGATATGGCCACTTATAAACTCCAAGGAGCGTTTTGAAAATTTGAAATAACAAATTATACTGAATGGTTGTAAACATCAAAAAGTACTTTTTCCAATATTTAATAAAACCATTCCCCGCGAGAATTTGAAGTCTA